TGCAAACTTGCATAGTTACAAATTTGATAAAATAATTCTATTTAAAAGAGAGTGCTTATCTTGGAGGCCTGAAATGTGATATAAAACTTTAAAAGCAGCTGACGTTTTCTGCCGAAATAAATGAAATAAAACTTAGTTAGCGAAATTTCACGGAAGACAGTTTGACAGATACCACCTAATCACTTCTGTTAGGTATTGGTTAGGTAATGACAAGGGATCGGGTGTATAAATAGTAATTTTGGTGGGAGTGGCTAACCACACGTATCGATAATCGTAGTAATGTAATATTAGAAATCACTTTTAATCCTTTATATTTTAATCTTTTATGAATAATTTCACCTCAGCTGCCACATTAAATTGTGAAAAATAATTTATGTAAAGCTGTCACAAAATCATTTGCAATTTTATTACATTTTACTTCCATTCATTTCTCTAGAAACAATTGTTAGCAAAGTTTTTCAGAAATGCCAGTCACATTGATTTGACAAAGGAAATTTGAACTGAACTTGTGGACACTATGATGGTTTGGAAATTTTAATGGTTTCAATGCAAATAGCACGAGTTTCAATAGAACAGTTCCAATGCATAACTTTCAATGCTACAAGTTTCAATGCAAATAGCAATAGCAGTAGTAAAAGCATTACCATAAGCAGTAGTTCTAAAAATAATGGCTAGTGCGCAACATGATCAGTAATTTTTTATGGTGATCAATATATCCGATCGATAATATACCGACAGAAAATGGCAAAAACCTTACCAAAATTTCACCAAACCTGAACTAAAGAAGTGATTGGGTGCTACATGGCAAAATTTTATTCTGGGCTTAATAGAAGGTGATTTGCATTTCGAACATTTCTCAACAAACATGAGAGAAACCGACGAATATGATACCGCAAACAGTACTTGCCCAGATTGTAAAGAAGATTGGATTCTTGGTATTATTGCTATCACACACATTGCTATTATTTAGCTAATAACATATCAATGTTCAATTCAAACTTTAAGGTAGATCGTGCCGTTTTAAAGTAAGATGAGATATATAACTGAAAAGTGTCCATCAAATCAATTTTTTCTATTTTTTAAAATATATTCTATGTTAGCAGTCTGTCAACCTCATGTTCGTCGAGAAATGTTCGAAATCTAAATCACTCTCTGTTAGACCTGGAATAAAATTTTACCATACACCGCCCAATCATTTGTGTTTGATACTGGTCGAAGATCACTGGTATAAATGCTAATTTTGTTGGAAGTGGGTAGCCACATGTATCGATGGTTTACGTTCACGTGTATTGATGTAACAATAGCAAGCACTGTTTAATCCTTTATACTGAACAAATTCATTTCAGTTGCCATATTGAATTGTGAAAAATGATTAATTTATGCAAATCTCTCGCAATATTTTTTACACAGTTTTATTCCCCTTCGCTTCAATTTTTCCAAACTTTGAAAAGTGAGGTAATATTAATCAGAGGCAAAAACTATACTGCTTTATCACTCGTAATTAATGTTTTCAATTAATGTATGTTGAATAATAATATCGTGAAATCTTTCCTTCGAACTCCATATCTATTCTAAAGTTTAGTTTTGAAGTTTATTATCCCAGGGAAACGAACTCAGAAAGAGCACATAAATCCTAAAGTCACAGGGAATCGTTCACCGCGGGTAGGAGAAATAGTACTTGGACGAGCATGAAACTCTTCGAAGTCTTTGAAAATTATCAAAAATAAAGGAACTTAGAAAAGGAAAAGATGGAGTCATAAGAGCTGCAATAATAGAAACTCCGTATAGAGAACACTTTACAAGACTGATAAACATGTCATATCCCCTTGAGGTCAACAATGAGTCTGGCATAGAAAGAAAAGAAACTAAAAATAAACCAGAGAAAGCCGAAGAACCCATTGCACTGAGAACAAGAAGCAAAAAATAAAACGAAGAAACCTCCTTTTTCAGGCGTTGGTCTCCTCGGGTTAGGAATGTCCAATTACCGAAATTAAAGCTATGTTCAAATAAAATTGCCACAATATCCAACAGACATGGTGATGAAATCTTGTAAGTAAAATTAAAGCGATGAACAGAATATAAGCCAACACAAAGATGGCATTTTGACTACACAACGTGTAATGCCAAAGGCTAGTCATACCTCCATGATAACCTCGATGGAGCTTGCAAAGCTTATATATATATAAGTTATTTTTATTTCGTTACATTGGTTTTTATGTGATATTGTTAGTCTGAATGAATGATCCATTAGAATTTTTATTTTTTCAATTTGAATAAATGATCCATTTTAAATTATTGAATGGAAGTTAACAGTCTGCCAATAACGAAGGTGAAAAAGAAAATGTCAAAACCCATTCATGATGAAAGGCAAAACTTTCACTAGTCTGACTCCTGTTGGCCCATATTGTTTGTTTTCTCGAAAATTCCGATGATTTTTTTTTGTCAGCATGACGGCAAAGTCTAATTTAAGCTTCTTCTGTTGATTTGTTTTCCATCTACAAAAAATTTAAATTCCAAAATTTTTTCTATTCCTTTTCTAATGAAATTTTATTAATCGCTCAAAACAATAAAACTATTTCACCAAAATTCATTTTAAACCTTCATGCTTGTATAATTTAGAAAAGATTTTACGGAATGAACTATGACATCGATGCAGATGTAGAATTGTTTATTTTATTATTAACTGTTGAACATAAACATATGTATGACATATTAACTGATGGTGAGAATTGAATAATATTTTGCACTAAAATTGTATCGATTTATTCAGAAAATTACATTTTTTATTTTTCTTTACGAAAAATTATTATTCACATTGTTTAATTCATATTTCGAATTTGATATGTATTTAGAAACTTGCATGACATTGACCTCTTGCTGAAAGATAGAGTATTACTGTATCGTTGTCTGATGTCATAGTCCAACATGTAGTGACAAGTGTCATGTTGAAATACAATAAGAATTTTCGCCAAATCTTTTATATAAAATCATTCATCTCATAAGTTATATTTATTGTATCTTACATGCTAATCAATCTTCAACCATACTAAAATGAAATAAGTATAGGAGAAAATTAATTTCATTAATTACTCAAATTTCTTACTAGCTCAGTTTTTCGTACCGATGTCGATGTGTTGTTTTTCTGACTAACATTACTGGGTGGTATATAATGAAAGGAACGTTTACCGTATCACGTTGATATGGATCGATTGTTAATTAAATGATACATTAATTCCAGCGGCTGTTGAATGCAAATGATGTTTCAAATAGAATAAATCAAAACTACAAAGGAATATCTAAATGAAATCGTGAAATGATCTTTAACAATTTAGAAATTCAATGGGGAGAAAAAAAAATTGTTTGATACATAAAAGCAAAACAAATTTTAATGCTAGAATAAATGTATATGGTAATAGTAACACTTTATTATAGTAATAGCAATACTTTATTGAGTATAGTAATAGTAACGCTTTATTGAATATAGTAATAGTAACACTTTATTGAATATAGTAATAGTAACACTTTATTGCAAGTTCTTTATGCATGGCATGCAAGCTACCTGCTTGTCATATATTCGCTTCGGTTATGCAAAGGATGTTTAGTGAGGTGCAAGTAGACACGAAATGGGGAATTTTATTCACCATTTTGTTCTAAGAGTAATAACAAAGAAATCAAGTGTCATGTTGAAATACAATAAGTGTCATGTTGAAATACAATAAGAAAAATTCGCCAAACCTTTTGTATAAAAATCATTCAATTCATAAATTTTATTTATTATACCTTACATGCTAATGAGTCTTCAACCATACTAAAATGAAATAAGTATAGGAGTAAATAATGAAGGACAAAAAGCTATGACAACTTT